CTGTCCATTGCTGTGGTTGGTCAAAATGTTGACAATTGTGAACTCATCCACACGTTTGTTCTCAATGGCTATTTCAATATTTAAAATATTCCACTCAGCATCGAAGTTGGTATGTGCTCTGACTCACATGCACTTGGTGGACTGTGTTCACACTCCAGGCTTAGCTTGAACAAAATTTCGTAAACAGTAGACCTTTTGAAAAATGCTGGCTGGGTGCCAGCAGCTGTGGAATCCCTAGATGTAGAATGATCTACTCTAAGAGGAGATGTGGGGTTATAATTTTGTGCATATGACAATATCAATCATTTTCTGTAGTGCCAGCTAAGCACAGAGTAGGTTTTTTATGATCTGGGCAGATGGGTAAAGGGTAAAGGAGAGTCCAGGAGCCCTCGGTGGCTTTTTCAGGCCTTCAATGAGCTTTTTACATCATTTGTAATGAGGCATCCAGGTACACATCAGGCTGAAGACCCAGGGGGGCCAGGAGGCTGGCAGAGGCTGGCAGGCCTCCTAGACGCCCACAAATCTTCACTCTTTCTGGGGTCCCTGGTGCTGTCTCCTGGTCTCTGCTCTCTGCTGTCTCTGCTACTTCTTTGCTGTTCTGCTTCTGTGCTCCTATGCTGCTCTTGGTGGCCCCATGAGGCTGCATTTATATGCCCGGTCTCTCAGTCCAGGTGTGCCCATACTCCAGATGACCGCGTTCAGGCACACATGTAAGAATGCAGGTGTGGATCTTAAACACCAATGGAGGAAGGGAAGGTAAACCTGACAGCTTCCCTTTACCCTGCAGGTATTTATCTAGTTACAAAGGAGCAGAGAGGGTGTGAGCAAGGGTCAACATTAACATCCTCACAACACAAGGGTCTGGAGATTTTAGCTGATGCCAGCTTGTTTTCATTATCACCTGGTGGTCAGCAATTCTGATGTTATCTTCACAGGGATGCTCTTTTCCTTTCGAATGTGAAAAAAAAGTTTGTTAACACTGGTAGGTAAATAAAGAAAGGAAATAGGTGAGTTCATCTGGTGGGACAAAGAGACACAAATGTTTCTGCCTCAAGATGAATAATTTCTGGGAGAATAAGTGTAATATACAGCACAGTGAGTATGGCTAATGATACTGATAGAGGTTAAGAGTAGAGAAATTAGAATGGAGGTGATGGGTAAAAATGATGAATATAGTTGTTAAGTCAGTTAAGAAATGAAAAATTTCTTAGCCTCAATTGTTATAATAATTATCAGACTGCTGTAGAAAGCATCCGGAGGGGCAGACCAGAAATGGAAATATGGAGGTGGAAGGTGATTTTGGAGTCACTGATCAACCTAGCCACATTTTAGAAATAATTTAGTAATAGATAACAATTCCATGAAGGAAATAATTTAACAATAGATAACAATTCTACAACAGTTCAGTACAATTTCTGCTTTGGCAAAACAAAGCTCTCCTGCCTCCTTGTAACTAAGCAGGTGTTTCTTTTCACAAACCATTTCCTTTTGAAAAGCAGCAGTGGCAGCTAATTTTGCCTGCTTCTGTCTGTGCAAGCATCTTCTCCTCCTTTCCTTTTTTTTTTATATAATATATCTGCATTTTTTGATATAACCAAAAGAGTTTGCCTTGTGGGGAAACTCACTGTGGTGCTGAATCGGGAATTCTGGTGAAACTTTTCCAAGAGGTACCCAAGGACCATGCCCTCTGTACCCAATACCTCTTAAAATGACATCAATAACTATTTTGTACACTTAAAATTTTCTGAGGGTGGATCTTCAATGTTCTTGCTCCCAAAATATATAATTGAAGTGAGTGAATGTGCTAGTTAATTTGGTTGGGGTAGTCATTTCATAATCTATATTAAATAATCACTATTTATATCATAAGAGAAGGTATAGCACTGAACTTATACCCCTATTATTGAGCAATTCTACTTGAGCAGAACATTTAAATTACAGAAATGGTCCCTTTATAGACATTGGTGAATCAAGAAATGGTCTTGATAGGAGTTATGGAGGGGGAGAAGATCAGGTAAGACACTATGCATGGTGTTGTAGGAAATTTGCAGACACATTGTATATGGTCAGATCATGCTGAATTAAAATCCCAGCCCAATGACACACGTGGAGGAATGTAGGGAGTCACTGCTATCTGAACACCAGACTCAACACATTAGGATGAGCGTGAGGCCAGGTGTCCAGGAGGGCCATAAGGAGCTTTGGGGGCTGGACTTCACAATTTCCTGGCAGCAGTGAAGGCCTGCTTACTGCTAAACTGTCTTGTTCAATTCACTAAAATGACAGCTGGAAATTAAATATTAAGGTGGTCTCTTTAGGGTATTAACTCCCTGTCTTCTTCTGTCACATTAAAGCACACCTTAAAAATTCAATTACTGTTCTACTGGCATTAGGTGTGACAGGTGACCTTCTGAAATCCAGTCTTCCTGACACATTCTCACCTTTCACTTGTAAAAAACTGGATAATTAGCATTGAAATGTGTGGCAATCTAGTTATGTATTGATTCTTTTTTAATAGCACATTCAAAATATGTGTAATAAATTGTTGCAGTTTGGTTATATTTACAATTTTCACTGTTTCCTTCAATGCTGATTCAGAATCCAGAGACATAATTGTTAATTATCAACAATAGTTCCTTGTGAATAAAACAGGATGTGAACTGTATGTATTCAAGCACAAGTTCTTTCATTAATATAGCAAAATCTTATTTGATGTTTTATCAGTATTTCAATGACATTTTCCTAGATTTGCTCTTTGATACCATTCTCTATTTTTTACATAAATTGATCCTTCTAGTTCTACCATCCTCAGTTTTGGTGTGCTATTGGGCAGAAGAATGGGTCTCTGGGACCCCCCAAACCAACATGCTCTAAATTGGTTCTGCCATCTACTGCATTGAAACATACTTTAATGCAACTAGTGTACAACACAGAGAAGAAAAAGTATATAGGTTAAATAGTTTCCCCATGAAGCACCCAATGTTACCCATCCCCTTGTGGGTAAATGTCCAGCCAAAGAGAGTTGACCCAAAGCAGGGCCACTAAGGTCCAAAAGCCTGCCATAAGTCTAAGGCACCCTCTGGTGAGTAACCCAGGAAAGGAGCAGAAGGGGCCATGCAAGTGGAACAAAAGGAGCAAAATCAAAATAGAAATCAAGATAAAGGCTGCCATTGTCAACTCCTACAGTCTCTCACTTAAGTCTCTATCTCATCTAAGTGTCTCCTTCCTTGTTCCCCAAGTTTCTGGTGCAAAGCCAAGGCTGAGAAGCAAGCAATCTTCTTCACATGTCTCTGCTGCGTGTGTCTCCTCCAGAACTTCCTTCTTCCAGTCTTCTCTCTATCTTCTCCAGCTTTTGCTCCTCGCCTGGCTCCACTTTTCTACATTTTCCATCACTTCTTCTTTATAACTCTGAAGATTATTTTTTTACCCTGCCTCACTTTTGTTTTAGTATTAGTTATAGACATAAATATATTAAATAATTATCATTAGAACTTTGTCAAAGTTTCTATTAGCTAGATAAAGCCCTTATTCTAGAAGATTCTTCAATAAAGGCTCATGTGTTAAGTATTCTCAGTAGTTTTCTAAAACTGCTATCACTGAAAAACAGTTTACACTTTAGTTTCTTAGAAATGCTGTTCTGTCGCTTTGATCGATATGTTCTTCTTGAGAAATATGACACTGATGTAGTTTCTTTTCCTACAATGTAAGTATTTTTAATTGAAATATAAGTGCCTGACATGGAGTTTTTGATTGTCAAGGCAGTCACTTCAAAGACATCCATCTTAAGTAAAGCACACTGCCAGTTAAATGTGTCAATTTCATGGTGAAGGAACAGTATTGAACCATTAGTGATGGACTTAATATAGTACATATTTAGCGTAGTATACGTAGGCATTTAGAATGATGCACATCTGAAACCTATATGTTAAAATGCTGTGTTACTTCAGTAAAAAAAAAAAAATACTTAAAATTATCTACTCCACTTGTCAAATACTAGTTACAGTACTTATTCCTGGTATAGAGTCTGCACTTAAATATTTGCTGACTGAATAAATGATTAAACATTGGGTGTGTTATTTGGCTGATTACGAACATCTTCTTTCTTTATAATCATTCACTGGAGACCTAGTGGAGATCTTACTTTTATTAGAATGTTGCATATCTATCCATAGCCTATTCTCCTTAGAGCTCCTTCTAAAATATAACTTAAATCCTCTACATCTTTGTTCAAAACCCTCCAATTACTTCCCTTCTTATTTAGAATCAAACCCAAAGTCCCTCCCTATGGTGACATAAAAGCTCCGACACAGTGCCTTATTCCACCCTCTGATATTCTCACTCCGGCGACACCGACTATATTGCCATACACCGACTATATTACCATTCGCTCTGCATGGAAAGTCCCTCAATTCCTTTGGGATTTTTCTCAAATGTCACCTATCAAAAAACACTTTTCTTAACCTATCTAAACTAGGAAACTCTCACTCCACTCCCATACTCTTGTGTTTTTCTTCATAGCATTTGGCACTGGCAGTATTTGTCTGAACGGTACCATGTAACCTGAACAGGTCCCTGGCACACAAGAGGCGCTTAGTGACGTAGTTTTAGAATGTATGAACTCGCCTGTGTATCACAGAGGTAACATGTTCTCTTTAAAATGTAATGTAACTAGTTATTTGTTAAGGCAGCTGAACTTGGCTTTTAAGTCTTTAGCTAGACAAAACTGAAACAAACGAAAATAACGAAAAATTCTGCGCCCAGAAAAATCGCTCTCAAATGGACGGTGGAAAAAAATTCTGAAAGACTATCAGGGACTAGAGAGTGACCCTTAAGGACGAACCTCTTCTTCGGAACAGCGCTGGCTAACAGCAGCAAGTTCTTCAGAGGCTCTAAAGTGGGCGGAGAATGGGCGGGAGTTGGCAGATAAAAGGCGTAACCAGGCGGGGTTGCGACGAGTGGAGGGAGCCTAGTTGAGCTCTTTTGTCCCTCTCTGCTTTCCCTATGAAAATTTGGGGCGGAGAGGGTCACAGATATGGCGGCCGCTAGGGTAAGTGAAAAAAAAGAAAACAAGTCTTGCTTAGTTTCGGGGGAGCAGACAGCTATCTAGTAACTATGGAGGTGAGCCTTCTAACTTCCAAAGGGACCGCCACAGCGAGGGGCAGGATGGTGGTGGTGGGGGGGTTGTGAGAGAATTGGCAAGGTCAGGGAATCTAACATTTAAAGGCTCCATTCACCTGCCTCTCCACTTTAGTTTCCTCAACCTGGAACACTTTCCTTAATCGCCAGCTGTTGACAGTTTATACCGCCACACAGTGGAAACTGGGAAAGGGCTAGATGAGAATGGTCGATCAGGGGACGAGCGGCAGCTCGCGTTTGGGTCTTGAGGTGGAACAAAGAGAAAAGAATCCTGGGCATTTGTCTGCGTGTGCAGGGCGGGGCCTCATGACCTTTTAAAGTAGTTTTTCCAAACGTTATTTGGGGTGAAGTAGTCCAAGTTAGAGACATGCCAGAACCTCTTGGTAGTACACGGTTTTGTTTTGCCTCTGGCTTTGAATAACAAACCTGAAGGTTTTTTTTTTTTAGTACTATCATGAGAAAAAGTGTCTTTTCTTAGTATCTGTGTACCGGAAGTGATTCAGCTGGCTGCTTACTACAGTTCCCTAAGTATGTTTCAATAGCTGTAGTCGTCAAATATGAAAGTAGATTTTGAGTGTAAAATGCTCCGCTAGACTTGCAGTAGATACAAATATGATTAACTCATTTCAGCCAATATTTAAGTTACTCCGTATGTGTCTTGATTCCTCATTCTCACTCTATTTCTGCAATTCAGGCTTTCATAATTTATCTGGATTATTACAACACCCTTCTAACTGTAGCTTTGTTTGAATACTTCTAAAATGCAAATCTGATTATATCCCTGCTCTACTTGAAAACTTTTATTGGCACTCCATCAGCCTTCTAGGATCAGGTCAGACTGCTGATCCAGGTGTTGTCTACAACACCTGACCCTGCCAGACTTTCCAGCTTCATTTCATAATCCTCATGAATCTTTCTAGCAACATCTGTACTCCAAGCCTTTCCTCCTGCTTTCTCCAGGTCTGAGTGCTCTTTACTATCTTCATTTAGTTCGTTTTTACTCATAGCTCATTTACTTAACAGATATTTGTGTTCTACCTCCCCATATGGTAAGCACAAAGTGCTTTAGCATGTACTCAACCTCTCAGTCTAATGTAAGTATTTCCTCTTAGTGCTCCAGTCTGGGCATACGTTACCATAGCCTTTATCACATGCAAATAGTAGACTATTTGTTCTATCCTCCTAAACTGTAAATTACTTTAGAACAGTATAGCATTGCTAATTTTGCATCCTTAGTTCCTAATCCAGGTATGACTTATGTATGAATGTTCTCCATGAATAAACAAGTGCTAGACAGTGAAGATAAAAGAGAATAAACTGAACTGTAGAGGTACAACATATAACACAAATGTCTGTGGTTCAGAGTAAGGGAAATACCTTTAAGAAAATTACAATGTGATCTGAGGATTTAAAAGATAGAGCTCAGCTCATAACTGGTTGAAGAGAATAAAGAAAAACTTCTGGGAGGATGTACAGAGACAAAAGGAATGGTCAGTGGTAAAGCAAACCAAATAGTGTGTTTTTAATGAGAAGAAGATAAATGTCTTGATTTGGCCATTAGCAGTTTACCATTTTATTAAGTGCTTACCAAAGGCCAGGGACCATGCTAAGATACTTTGCATTTTCACTTAATTCTCAAGATAAATTTACTTTGTTGTAATTATGATCTCCGTTTTTCAGATGAAAAACTAAGGCTTAGACAAGTCAAGTAAGTAACCCAAAGTCAGTGCTAATAACTGAAGTCAGATCAGAGGTATAGGTAGAGGGTACAATCTAGATGGTAAAAGGTTAAGGAAAGGATAAGGGGAGGAAAACTAGCATTTCTTTAGCACCTACTCTGGCCATGTGCTTTATATATTTCCCTTTAATCCTTTTGATGGCCCTAAGAAATGGGTATGTCCTATTATATACATGAAAAATCTGAGACTTAGAAAATGTGTTTGCTGTGTGTGGTGATGAATATTAATGATGTAGTGTGGTGATCATTTTACAATACATATACATATAAAATCATGTTATACACGTTGTTATGTGTCACACATCAATCTAAAAAAGAAAAGTGCTTTCTCCAGGTTACACACAGCTGCTAAGTGGAAGAACCAGGTTCAAACATGTACTTCACTTTGAGGTCTGTGATCTTTCCAGTACTTTTTGCTTTTCTGATAGATTTATTTTGCATATTGGAGAAGTTTCATGATAAAAGGGTAAAATATTCCAAATATTCCAAATTTTCGTTAAAAAATGCCAGGAAACCTCACATGCTTGTTCAACTGCACTCTTTCTCAAAAAGAACATTACCAGAAACCTTCCCCTTTGTTCCCCTGCATAGTTATCCTCCATTATAGATAAAATTTGCCCAATTTTGATCTTCATATAAATGAAATTATGTAGTATTCACTTTGCAGGTCTGGCTTATTTCACCCATTATATGTGGAACACTAGTTCATTCATTCTTATTAATATATAATATTCTAGTGGGTGAATATATTATGATTTATTTGTCCATTCTACTATTGATGGTCATTTGAATTATTTTCAGTTTTGAGCTATTATAAACAGTGTTCCTAAGAACATTGTTCGGGCCCACATAAGAGCACATTTCTTTTGAGTGTTTATCTAGGAGTGAGGTGGTCATGTCATAGTAGGATGTGGCTTTGGTAGAAACTGCCAGATAGTTTTCCATATGTTTGGACCAATTTATATACCAATTCATGAATGTTACAGTTATTCTTGAGAGTGGAGATTTTTACTTAAGAAAGAAGTAATGGCTTAGAAGCAGCACTGGGAATCAGGAAGAATACAAACTCTACGCATATTCCCTAAAACACTTAGCATAGCCTCACTTGTGGGTAACAGAAACGGTGACCTCGGGACAGTCGTGTCTCATTTCATCAAGGAGGGAGAAGGAGAAAATGAAAAGATTTTTAGAGTTCTAAGGAATAGCAAAAAGTTTGGTCAGTGGAGAAAATCACACAGCACAATGTCCAGGATGATGGAGATGGGAAGGATTATGGGCATCATGGACTTGAAACTTTCAAAATCTGTGATAATACTACTCATATGTCAACATTAGTCCTTGTTTATTTCCTCTATTTTGTTTCATATAACTAATGCCAAAAAATATTTGGAACCTAACAAACTAAAGTTTGTATTCGGAGAGACTGGTGTGGTTATCTCTCCAAAACAAAATCAGTTTTTCAGTTTCCTCTCAGCTTTGTTATCTTTATTTTCAGTCTAACTTCGAAGGTTATGCTTTGAAACCTCTAGCGTATTTAATCACATTTGTTATAGTGGGTTCTAGGATGGTACTTTATGCAGCAAAACAAAGTGTTCTGTGCATTGTCTCTTTCTACACTCATAGGACTCAACTAATTCCTGTGTGATACCATCTTTACAAGTTGCTGTTAGGTTTTTCTGTGAACTTCACTGAATATGGAAATAAATGATTGCTTGTTTAGCATTCGAAGGTTCCTTAAATTGTTGTATATCAGGCTAACTTACATCAGTGTTTCCTAACTTTACCGTAGATTAGAATTATCTGGTGAGTTAAAGTACTGATGCCTGAGTTCTATCCCAAATGGAGCATTTTAATATTGTAAAAGGCACCAGGTGACTGTGTTACTGTGTTTGAGAACCAATAATGTAGGGGGGTGGGTGAACTGTCTTTTATACAGATTATGAAGGACAAAATACTGGAGTTTTTCCGATTATGAAAAACAGAGGTACATTCAAATTATCTTAAGTAGTGGTTTAATATAAGCATACTTAGATTAAGAATAAAGTTTTGGGGCCCTCCCTGGTGGCAGCGGGTTAAAGCACAGCACTAAGATGCTAAAGCCTCTTCAGCATGAGTTCAATCCACATGGTGCAGCAGACCTCTCCTGACCCACCCGCCGCCCACCTCAGCAGTGTACTTCATCAGTCGGCCTTTTCTGTTCCCCACTCTGTGTCTGGTGAATCCTCTCACCGCCCCTGCACCTCTGGCCTGTACCCCAGGGGTTCATTATTCATAAATACATAAAAATCTTAAAAAAAAAGCTAATTTCTGCTAAGTGAAATAAATCAGAAGGAGGAAGTGAAATACAGAATTTCACTCATGTTTGTTGTGCAAGCACGCCTAGGGCACTTTCGCTATAGATTTGGGCAGATGGATAAAGGAAAGTCCCATAGGTTTATCAGGCTTTCATGGTCTCTCAGGGAACCAGGTATACAGGTATACCAGGTAGGTGGTTGAGGCAGGTAGGGGATAGGCTGGGCTGGGTTGAGCTGGCCTGGCCTGGCCTGGCCTGGGCTAGGCTGGGAGTGGGCTGGGAGACAGGCAACCAAGCCTCCTAGCTCCCCACAAATGTCTACGCGCTTTCTCTGGGCTCTCTCTGACATTCTCTCGAATGCTCTTGTTGTCTTGCCTCTTCTATCTTCATACTGTTTGTCCTCTCGTAGCTGTCATCTATCTTTGAGTGACACCACCCTTGTAGCTCTGGCCCCTAGGCTCAGGTGTGCACACTTACTCATGCAGGCACCCGTATTCAAAGTGTTCGCAATCAGACATGCATGCCCTGAGTCTACACTCCCCAAGAGTTGTCTGCCTTAACACGATCAAGGCTGCAGGTGATAGCCATTGAGACTAGTGGCAGAAAAAGCCTGACGAGTTCCATTTACCCTACATGTGAAATACAGAGAAACAAAACAAAGTTACAGACAAAACTAAACCAAAATAAATCCTGGAAATATGACTACAGAATTGAGGCTACCAGAGGGAGTGGGTGGGGGTGGGGAGACGGGGCCTGAATTAATCAGGCTTTATGTGCCACTAGTTTCTGTAGCCATCACCTGTGGTCTTGTGTTAATACAGAAGGTGCTTGGGAGTGAGGGGCATGTCTGTCTGGTTGTGCATACCTGGAGCATGAGTGT